TTGTGTATACGCATGGYACCGCGGCGGGTCGGCGGGCACACGGCGTTTTTCTATCTCCACCTACCACCACTATCATCTCTCTCACACTCACTCGCTCGCTCTCTCCCTATCACTTTGCACGTCGTGTTTCGCGCGAGATAGCGGTTTCACAGAAACTGCAACGACCGAGTGCCGGCGGTTTCCCGTTATATAAATTACATGTTATTATTATCATTAGTTTATTGCATAGCGTTTTATTTCCCGTTGGTTTCTTTCGGTCGGCCGCCGCGGGAAAAATGTGCTCGCTATAATTTTTGCGGAAAAAACCCGACGCGCGCGCGCTCGTTTTAAGCGGTCCGCTAACACACCTCTTCGTGTTACACGTTACATATTTATTTACTCCCGCGTGCGTAATTTATCATGTTGTTACACGCCGATGTTGTGGTGCGCGCGACGTGAACGAAAAAAACAAAAATTCGTATCGGCGGCGGCATAGGTGCAGCACCATCGGCGGCGGCGGCCTGTGCGTGTGTGGTGTATGTTCGCTTACGAATAATGGGTATGAATATACCCACACACACACACACACACACTGCATAGCTAGCGGGTGCGATATACATATATATATATATATATAATTTATATATAAATATATATTTAAATGTATCATAATAGTGTTGTGCGGCGGAGGTTTCGTCGTCGTCGGCCGCGCGGAAACACTATCGCGCGCGCGACCGCCGCCGGCTCCGAAAAGTCATTGGCCTCTCGCGCAAATACACACACGCGCATACCGTGCACACACACATACACACACACACTCGACTGTGCGGTGCGTCGTGCCACGCCGAAAAACAGCCGTCGCGATGTGCCGTTCCACTACCTCCACCACTTCTACTATTGTGCTACTGCTTCTACTTCTACTACCACTACTACTACTCCTACTACTACTACTACTACTACTACTAATACTACTGTACTGCCGTCTACTACGCTACAACGATGATGACGGGTGGGTGGGTGGCGGTGTTTTTTGCGCAACAAAAACCGCCGCCGCAGTATTATTATTATTATTATTATTATTATTTTAACAATATTATATTATTATTACATCGTTCATTTGCGGACGCGCACTCATCGCAGTTGAGGTCGTTGCGTGCCGCTCACGTTGTTGTCGTCCAGTTCTTTCTTCTTACCATAATAATTATTTACTTCTCTCGGACATGCGCCTAATCGTTTTTTTTTTTATTCATCCGAGAGCGACCGAAAAAATGTTTAGGAGTCGTGTGGAAATAAAATGTTTTAAAAAATAACCACCGATACATACGGCACTAACCCGTAACAACGACGTGAAACTTTGCCGGAAAATTAAGCGTTTTTGCCATGTAAAATTAATTTATGGTAACGTCCTCGTTGAGGAGACGTRCATGCGGTCAAAAACGACGACGGCTGCGGCGGCGGCGGTGGCGTGCACCGACGTACTTTTACCGCGAGCCATCACACGACTTGTTCCCTCGTCACCCCACCCCACCTCACGACGACAACATCGCGGCAGTGGTGCAGTCCGCCGCCGCCTCTAACACTACTGACCTACTTTCTATTGCGGCGGCGGCGGCGTTTACTTTTTCGTTTTTTCTCTATTCTTTCCACATATTATGCAGCGCGCCACACTCGTCTCCGTCGCGGCAGCAGTCGTCGTTTACTCGCGCGGCCTACACCTATGTACACTCTCTCTCACACACACACACAGATATTATCATTTATCGTCATTATTGCAATAATGATTATACTTACTGATATTATTATTATTATTATTCTATACACGACTGGAATATTATAATGATAGGAGGCATTAGTATCGGGCAGGCACAGGAAAAGGTTACGGTTCGGCCGGAGAACGCTTGCCCGGATTAACGGTATTTCAATGGATACGATCCGATACGCTTATATTATGTATTATAAACTATAATACGCGGGTGATAATAATAAAGAGTAGGTAAAAATATTAATAATATTCTGTACTTTGGTAAGGACCAACAATGACTGCGTATGAAAATATAATGTACAATATTATACTAATATAAGTTATAATACTATTATACGGTGCCTTTAATATAATRTCGTCCGGTGAAAAGCGAACGGCCGTGGTCCCAAATATCACGTACCTATATATAATATATAATTTATTATTTCGGACCACACGATCGCATRTGCGCGCGCTCGAGAGAGTTCCTATWTAAACTTTTCGGCTATTTTCGGCGACCATCGATGATAACGTCTGTCGCGGCGTTCGTTCGTTCACGCAGCGCACGCGTCAATATTTATTTATTTTTTCGCGATCGTCGCCGTCGTCCTATCGTATGTAATGGTACATTATCATGATCGCGTTCTGCATCTCTGACTATACTTGTTTTGTTGACGTCGTCCATCGAGATTGTTTTTTAATTTTCTGACCGTTTTATTTTTATTGTTCACATCTTGACCACGCAGTAATTAATAATAATAAAATAATTATTGTATTTCATTATTGTTGTTGTTATCATGTCCGCGTATCTATTTCGCACAATCCGACGACGGAGGCGGCGGCGGCATCAGTGGCGTTTACAACACGTCGTCGTCGACGTCTCGCGGAGTCTATTTTCGTCGCGCGGTTTACGCGTTTTTACAATAATCTATTCACAATATTATAATGGTATGTTACGCGTCGCTCGCGCACAATATGCAATAATAATACATCGCATAATGTATTATTATTATAAGTTTTTAATAATAATAATAATAATAATAATAATAATATAATATACAAAGCAGTTATCGTCGTCGTACATAGTGTACGTGTGTATTTGTTTGTATAATTGTATGTTGTTGGTAACGATCCGGCCGCCGCCACCGCCGGCCCTGTAGGTCGTTGAACTCCGTGGCCGGCCAGCTGACTATATACTGTACGGCTATGACTACGACGTCGACGACGGTGCTTTGTGATGGTACCGTTGGTTTTTATTATTTTTTGTTTTTTTTTTGCGTACGAGAATATCACACCAGAATATATATATTAAAAAAAAAAAAAAAACACAGAAACGAAATAAAAAATTAACGGAAAACTGCGGAGCTGACAGTGGTTCAAGCTTTTCGTGCGATGCTTGTACTAATGATACCTCGTGGTATAAGTTGTACTTATAATAAAATAATTAATATATTATACATAAATTCGTCGTCTACTACACTTGTATCGCTTCTCTTCGGCGGTAGTGATGGATAATAATTTGAGCGGTGTAAAATCGATTTCAATTTACAACAACCGCGGCGGCTATGACTATTGACTACGTCATTMATATAATAATAATGATATAAAACCACTCGTATATCGTCGTCATTGGAGTCGATATAAAAATTTTCTTCTGTTTGTTATAACGATAATAATAATAATTTATATACACTCCAGTTCACCCGAGTGTGTTGTATAAAATTATATACAATATAAAAATAAATAAAATACACAACAATATTCAGCAAACAACAAGGTCGTTGAACCTCTTTAGTGTGCAGTGTGAGCGCGTATTACGTCGATCGCTTTGCTCAGACGCGAGCCACCGCCGCCGTCTTATAAGTCTCGAGCGCGATGTGTTTATGCCGGAGAGCGTTTTTTAAAACTCGGGATTGGTAGTTTTTCAAAAATAAATCCTCGAAATAATGGAGCGCACATCGAACATGGCGTACCTAATGACAATATCCTACGGCGTGCACTCGTATAACGCAGTCGTCGGTCATTGCGATAATGTTTTTGTGTAGGTACCCGACGGAGGCGTCGAGTGCGATAATAATAATAATAATGATAATATTATCGATACATAATTATTATTATTATTATTATCAATGTGTTATGCCTCACACACAGGTACACCGTATCGGTATTCCGATACATATATTACAATATATTATTATGATATATCATAAATCATAATATATATTATTATTTATTGTAATATATGCGCGCCGTGTGTATCGCAACATTATACATTATACGGATATAATATTATGTATTATATTATTCGCACAAAGGGAGAGGGCTGGCGGGGATCAGGTGTCGTGAGTGGCTGAAAGGGGGTGTGGGGGGGGGCTAGGATTAGAGTGTGTCTGCGTATGACCTTACGCGCGCCGTACGGTTGACCGATTATCACCGTCGTGTGTATACAGCGCGATACCTGCCGCCGACGTTACGGTGCGAATTGTTTATATTCGCCAGTAAAAATGTCACATAATATATCATTACATCGCTTKTATATCTGATGTACCTACGACATGTTCAATCGTGTATATTATGTACATCAAGCACTGCAGCTACGAAATAACATTGTGCTCTCGCATAATAATTATTATGATATTATGTATAGGTACTTAATGWGCGACGACGTAATATTATAATTTATAATCTCAGAATATTATAATATTATACATTGAATCATATACTACACGCATTCGATTTTRGTGTCCGCTTGCAATGATACCTAATATCATATATTTACATAATCATACCATCCTCGTCATAATACCCAGACCCATATGCAGTTGTTCCGGTTTCGTTTGTCGGCGTACTGTAGACTGTAGTCCATTCCTCAGATATATACAAAGAGATGGACTGATAGCGGAGATAGAGAGAGAATGAGAGGGCCAAAATATTGCGAAC